ATGGTTCAATAGCCAGCATACAGCACACCTGGGTAGCTCAGTTGGTTGAGCATCCAACTCTTGGTCTCTGCTGAGGTCATGATCTCACGGTTTGTGAGTTCGAGCCCCACATCGGGTTTCGCACCAACAGTGGGGAACCTGCTTGGGATTCTCTCTCTCTGCCCCTCCCCCACTCTCTCTCTCTCAAAATAAATAAATAAACAAATAAATAAAATAGCCAGCATAGTTGCCGAAAACAGAAAACACTAAGAAATGACCAGATTGGGCGATTCCAACGCATCTTGGGAGAGGTGACTGGTGAACGGGTCGAAGACGCGGCATTGGAAAAAAACTGACAACAGGCCAGCAACGTAAGCTCAGAAGTATGAGAAGTGACACCACACGGATGGCGTTCCTCCGGGAGAAGCAGGGGCCAGCCCCCAGCCACAGGGCAAGAGTGGGGCTCAGGCTGGAAAACGCACCGGCACCCCACAAAGTCGCTCACACCTGCACAGCCAGGCATCACCTGACCACCCACCACTTCCCTCACCAGCGCCCTGTTTCTTCCACCGCCGGCATGACCCTCACCGTGAACCTGCCGGAACACGTTAGCACCTCATTGTGCGGAAGACACAAGCCTTGCCACTTAGAGATGTGCTCTAATCCCAGCCAAGGGCGGGGACCCTACAGGTTATTTGTCTCCAGACAAAATGATTCTGAGCGCTTCATCCCCAGATAGGAGTCGGGATAGCAGATTCTCAGCGGACGCTCATCGGCTGGATGTCTCCGTTTATAGACGTTAAGATTTTATCAGAAGAGGTGACACTCAGATATATATATTTTATATACGGTTTAATATATAATAACAGATATCAAAGTTTACATATATCTCAAGGAAAAGAGTTAGTAACTAACAGACACAAGTTCTATTCAGACGTCGTGTGATATCATTTTTTTTTCTCGCTTTTCCAAAGGGCCTCAACATAAATGCTCCACAGGCAGACAGAGCCTGCCGGTTTCCCATCACACTTAACACAGAATGCTCAACAATTTTGCGGTGTGGACCATGCATTTGAAAGGACTCTGCCCCTCATCTCGTCGTACATAACATTGTCATAAAACACACACAGTGGGGACGCCTGGGTGGTTCAGTCTGCTAAGCGCCCGACTCTTGATCTCAGCTCAGGTCATGATCTCACGGTCATGAGTTCAAGCCCCACGTTAGGCTCTGTGCTGACAGCCTGGAGCCTGCTTGGGATTCTCTGTCTTCCTCTCTCTCTGCCCCTCCCCCACTCGTGCTCTTTCTCTCTCAAAATAAATAAATAAACTTTAAACACACACACACACACACACACAGAGAATATATCTTTAAAGGGACATAGACCATTTTATAAATTGATGAGTACATATGCCAAAAAGTAGCAAATTTAAGGCACTTTTTTTTACTGATAGCATAGCACACTTATCAATCACTTTATGCTTGATATTTGAAGCCTTTGAGAAAAAAATGTCACAATTATCATTTCATCCCCTTACCCACTCTACACCTGGAACTTGTCACTATGGCAACCTGTCCCGATGCCTCTAAATCAGAAGCGATCTGTGTGTTCGTATTATATCCTAAAATGCAAAACCAAAACAAAACCACCAAATGCACCACCAGAGCATTCCAAATGTTCTTTGGTACGTTTCAGAGAGTTATTATCTGTCTAACAGAGGATGGAATAATTCAACATCTGGATTCATGGCTTAAATTTTATTTTGCATTTTTTAATGTATCACTGGGTAAATTATTCCTTCTGTTTTCTTAAGCCTCTCAAGTTTTCACCACCATAACAAAATAAACCTAATGAGAAATCAAATGGAAAATTTATTCCAGTAAAACAGAAATATAATTTTTTTTGATCCTGGCATGTGATAAAAGGGTCAAAACAGATGCTACCCAAGGCAAAACCTGTACCATTGCTCTGGAGGAGCCCCGATTAAGCACAATTCGCATGCTGTTTGGTTGGTTGGTTGGGGTTTTTCTTAATGTGAACGGAATCTCTGATCAAAAATATTTAAATTCAGGGGGCGCCCGGGTGGCTCAGTCGGTTAAGTGTCTAACTCTTTTTTGTTATCTTTTTTTTTTAACATTTATTTATTTTTGAGAGACAGAGTGAGACAGAGCGTGAATGGGGGAGGGGAAGAAAGAGGTGGGGGGCGGACACAGAATCCAAAGCAGGCTCCACGCTCTGAGCTGTCAGCACAGAGCCTGACGCAGGGCTCAAACTCACAGACCACGAGATCATGACCTGAGCCAAAGTCAGATGCTTAACCGACTGAGCCACCCAGGCACCCCAAGTGTCCAACTCCTGATTTGGGCTCGGGTCATGATCTCATGGTTCATGAGATCAAGCCCTGAGACAGGCTCTGTGCTGTCAGGGAGGAGTCTGCTTGGGATTCTCTCTCCGTCTCTCCTCTCTCTCTCTCTCTCTCTCTCTCTCTGCCTCTCCCCTGCTTGTGCTTGCTTTCTCTCTCAAAATAAATAAACTTTTCAAAAATGTTTAAATCTATTTCTAATAAATAAAATCAATGTTCTCAAGTACACTGAGAAAAAAACTTTAAAACACTGAAAGCATCCTAAATATTGATTCATAGTATTCATTAAAATTATTTTGTGTCATCAGCAAAATCATGGGATCTCTTTAATACACTATGTAAAAAAGTTAATGGAAAAATCACCCTTAAGAATACACACAAAAGTGAAAACGGATGCTAACCGGAGGAATTCGATGTTTTTTCTAGTTTTTATCCGTGTGTGTTAATAATTCTATAATAAATATGAATGTTTTATAATTTGATAAAGTATTCTTAATCTTAAAACGTGGGGTATCGTAGAAGAAAATTCAGTTTCAAGATATAATTAACGCCAACTGTGAATAAGGCACTGCGTGTGCCTGGCACTAAGAAAAACGAAAATATAAGTCAAATGAAACTCCTGCTTCTAAGGACCTCAGGATCTGGTGGGGATCATGGTTAGAAAGGAGGCGAGCAGTAGCCATAACTTACTCCATGCCCACCGGAGAAGGTATTCCATGCATAGTCCTATTTTATATGGGCTGCACAGCTTGGGACAGAAGGAAACTGAGGCTAAGGGAAAGAGACTGCGCCCCAGACACAGTTTACGCGTGAGACACAGTTTACGCGTGAGACACGGTCGACACAGGTCCAGGGTTTGCCCTTGCCTGCCATCCCATTGGCTAAAACATTCAGACTCAAAGAGCAAGGAACACAGAGACCAAACAAACGATACACTTTCCAAACAACCGCCTGACACGACAACCTAAAGGACGTTATCTGAGCTCACAGGATGTCACCAGGGAGGCCCATTACCGTTTTCCCAGCAAAGTGTGCACAGGCTGGTTGCTGAGATAACGGAATTGGGGACGGAACTGGAGATAACGAAATTGATTCCGCTGATTTTAACAACAGAGTTGCGATCGGGAGCAGGAAAGCATCCAACTTCCAACTGAAAAACACTTTCTTTAAAACAATACAAACATGGGAGTGCCTGGGTGGCTCAGCAGGTTAGACGTCTGACTCTTAATCTCTGTTCAGGTCATGATCTCACAATTCGTGAGTTTAAGCCCCGCATCAGGCTCTGTGCTGACAGCGTGGAGCCTGCTTGAGAATCTCTCCGTCTCCGCCCCTCCCCCAGCTCACACTGTTTATAAATAAGTAAATAAATAAACAAACAAACAAACAAATAAATAAAACATCGTTTTAAAACATAGCTATGTTACACTTTTCAAGAACTTTCAAATCCATGGTCTCAATGGATTCTTTTGAGGTGACTAAACCTATAAACATGTAAAATGACTGTTGATTGAATTAATGAAGTGCAGAGAGGTAAACTTTCTGAACAAGGGGCACCTCGAAAATTTATGGAAGAGCTCGGACGAGAACACAGCACTTTCCCACGGCCGTGTGCACATTTGCACGCTAGGGATGCATTCGCGGACGGGACCGTAGCTCGCGTGGGCCTCTCCCCACGTGCTGTCAGGATTCTCTTACAATTCAGTTATCTCTGAGAACATAAATAAAACTCATAACATCGAGCATATTTCATATATACTGTCTCTAATCCTGGAGGTCGATTTTGCTATAAATAAACCATCGGACAAACTTCCAAGGAGGAAACCGAGGCTCTGGGATTCCACAGGGTTTTCCCAAGGCTCCCACACGGGTGAGTGATGGACGGAGCGTTCAACCGTAGGTGGATCTCATGTCAAATCCCAAGTAGTTTTCACATGCCGGTTTTGATCGGGTAATTCCCAAATATGAGTATTTATGGCCCAAGTTCTCTAAGGAGTGATGAGGAGTCTAAGTGAACCAAGGTATAAGTAAATAGAATCTTGCGTACTCAGACAAAAACCATTATGGTCACTCAGTCATTTATAAGTAACAGTGAGACCTTGATTGTGCAAAGGCTGGAGCCACGGCAGGGAGGGCAGGACGGTAGACATGGATGTGTCCCTGCCTGCCCCGTGGGGCCAGCTGTCCAGGCAGGCGGCTCTAAATCTCATGACTACGGGGAGCCCGTCCTCCTGTGCCCTCACGTGTTGACACATTTGTCCTTGGCCTCGTGGCCAGGTCATGGCCTGAAGGTGCAGGTTTTAGAGCTCCCCGGAAAGCCCAGGTGAGGGTCAGCAGGTGCCTGCTCGCGGCTGACTTACGAGGGTATCGAGGGTGTTCCCTAATGCATGACTCTTTTTTCCCCTTCCGTGAAGGAGTCTTCACTCTCCTGTCTCCCATCTGCCATCAGGGCGGCTCTGTCCCACTCTCTGAAATGCCTTAATGACCTCTCGCTTCCTGAGTTTGCTTTCTATCTGTGGAAACAGAGCTACGGTAAAGGACAGCGGCATAGAAGTTCTATTCCTTAGAAAGCACCCGGCAACATTTGGGAATCCGCTGATCATCTTGTTAGGTCTGTCCTCGGAATACAAAACACAAAAAGTACTGAATTTGTGGGTACAAACCTTTCTTCCATTATCTTCATAAGACCCTTCATCTTCTTTTTCCTATTATTAAAAAAATATAGTAATCAACTTCGGGGCACCTGGGTGGCTCAGTCAGTTAAGTGTCTGCCTTCAGCTCAGGTCATGATCCCGCAGTCTGTGGGTTTGAGCCCCACATCTGGCTCTGTGCCGGCAGCTCAGAGCCCGGAGCCTGCTTCGGATTCTGTGTCTCCCCCTCTCTCTGCCCCTCCCCTGCTCACGCTCTGTCTCTCTCTCTCTCTCTCTCTCTCTCTCTCAAAAATAAACTTTAAAAAATTTAAAAAAAAAAGAAAGACACTTTGATTCACTCTAAGAAATTAAATCTGCTGACTGATGTCAAGTTACTAATGCACACGAAACACTCCCAGAGGCCAAAGGAGATCTACGTAACGAGTCAACAAGGTGTGGCTGACCAAGGTCAGTGGCTGGTCCACACAGGCGTTCAAGTTCTAGCACAAACTCAGTGTCACCGCGATGCCTGTGTCCTCTTTCTATTAACATGTGGCGTTCGGTTATTCCATAACTGAAACATTAGCACCGCTCTCCACTACTGCCCCAGTGCAAGCAGGTGATCCGCGTGACCCTTCACCTAACGCTCGGGGACAGACACTGCGCCGACTCTCAGAACACAGTCTTACGCTCTTGTCACCGAAGCAACGAAATATTCTCTTTCCTCCTCATTTCAAAGTCTTCCTGATTCATCTAGATACAGACTACACACTTTCACTGAAAACCGCCTCCAAATCAAACATATTTAAGAACGTAAGGAAGAAAAAGCGAATTGCTTGAAAGAGCGTTCCCTTTGGCTGGCTGTTTTAGATCATAAATTCCACTGATGTTGAAAACCCCAGACTTCCTTTTCCACAAATGCCCTTTCCAGGGTGGGCAAGAGACGGGAGACAACTCCCAGTAGCTCCAGCCCCCTCCCAGTGGCCCCCTGGGGTCACTTCCCCCTGTCCTTAAATGTGGGAGCCAGGAGGCCGCCGGGCACATTGAAGAGTGGAAAGGGATGGCTCGCCAGGCTGTTGCATCCTCAGGTTTATTTACAGTTCTGGAAGCTTCGGCAGCAGAACAGACTCAGACTTGACACCCCAGACTTATTATGCAACCTCCTGCCTGGGGCCAAAAACTTTAAAACAAGAAACCAGCCTGGAAAAAAAAAAATCTAGAGATAGAATTTTGACAACAAATTCCCAAAAATATATTTCTTACCTATATGAATTGTGTATGTAAAGTAAATTTTGCCTGACATGTTCTCACCACGAAAGAAAAAGAGAGAGAGAGAGAGAGAGAAAGAAAGAGAAGGAGGGAGGAAGGGAGGAAGGAAGGAAATGGTAACTCTCTGTGGTGGTGGGTATGTTAATTAGCTTTACCTGCCATATATTCTTCAATTAAAAAATTAAGATAAAAGGATATTTTGTTTGCCCGACACACACGTTTCCTGTAGACGAGTCACATAATCTCACAGACGAGTCACCACGGGAACGTGCTTCCCGCATCGACGGTACCCCTCCAGCAGCTGGTGGAGGAAAGAGCAGACACGGAAGCCACGCAGCCAGAATTTTCCTGGGCAAGCTCATGCTGCCACCTATGGAGTGTAAGCTCCCCGCGCCCCTGCTTCCCCAACAAGACGAGCTATTTACGCAACACCAACGACTCACAAAGCACAATGTCCATGCTGTCCACGGACACCTACACGCCCACGCACCTGCTGCTATCCACCTCCTGATTCTGCCCTCTAAATATGTATCTTGAAATCTGTTGGGAAAACAGTTGTTCAGTCTGCAACCCGAAGCACAATAAAGTAACCAGGGCGAGCACAAAAGCCATTAAAATTACTCACGTCATTTCTGGCCCCCAGAGACCTGATCTAAGGTACAGCCCGGCAGGAAAACATGCTATGTGTCTAACTCCACGCCGATTTGTATCCTGGAACCAACTGGGCTCTACGGTTCTTTCTGCACCAAACGTGAGCTCCGCCCAGCACGTTAAAAGGAGAAGGGGGTCCGTGGACTCAGGCCATTCCATGCAAAATAAAAATAGAATCAGCTCACCTTGATGCTTTCGAAATCAGAGGGGTTATTGTGTATCTCTTCGTCTTCCGTGACTATCTCAGCCGGTGTCTGGAGAGAAAACAGAGCCCGTGTCAGGTTCAGTGGCGATCAGCCTACGTCAAGCCCCGTGAAAGGAGCAAACGACAGTGAAACAGAGCAACTCTGTGAACGACTTCTGTGGACAGAGCTGAAAATGTGGCCGGTTTTTCCCCAGTGGTTGCTTCAAACCCCACACTGTGTCTGCCCTGTATTTTTTACCTCTTGCTCCACTTACGAAATGCTCACCTGTTTAGTAAAATCGCTGGAGAAATCTTTAAGGAGAAACACTTGAAACCCCTCTTGTGTGAAAAGGAGTGGAATGCGGGCACCTGGGTGGCTCAGTCAGTTAAGCGTCCGACTTCGGCTCAGGTTGTGATCTCGTGGTTCATGGGTTCAAGCCCTGCATCGGGCTCTGTGCTGACAGCTCGGAACCTGGAGCCTGCTTCGGATTCTGGGTCTCCCTCCCTCTCTGCCCCTCCCCTGCTCGCTCTCTCTCTCTCTCTCTCTCTCTCGCAACTAAATAAATATTAAAATAATAATAAAAGGAGTGGATTACCCTCCTGATGCCACCGGTCAGCAGGTAGTAAATGCCTGTGTGAGCCTCTGTGTGCCCCTGGGGACCACAACCGCCGCCCTCGTTCCCTGTGTTCAAGACACCCGCCACAGCTCCTCACCCAGGGGTGTGTGCTCACACCCTTGTGTATTACTTCCCAGTTTTTGTGACTTGTTTGCAAGAGGCAGTGAGCTGTCTTTAACTGGCACCCTGGAACCTCTCGACTCGGGGAAAACCATGTGGTTCTGCGGCACAGAAAGAAAGGGCCCCCCAGGGGCTACTTCCGTTATATGCCTATACCAGTCGGAGTAGGCGGGTGAGACTGTAGCGGCCATCACGCCAAGTGCACGCGCCTCATGCCCACTGCGGGCTGGCCAGGGGGTCTGCTGCTCATCACGATCACCCAGGATGCCTGGCCGACGGGGACACCTACTCCTCACGTTTCCATGATTACAGAGGCAGACGGGCGGTGTGGAGTTTACACATTACGTCTCTGCCAGGAAGTGTGGCTCGTTAAGTCCACTCACCCATCTGCAGTGAAGGCAGGTCGCAAAGCCACACCTGAGTTAAATAAGGTGGGTGGAGAAGTAGCCTCTCACCAGGTGACCACAGCTGGTGGTCATGATGAGCCCTAAGGACCCACCAGCCCCCGCCAGCGGATCCTCGAAGGAGCAAGACCGGAGTCCGTGGCTGTGTAGACGTGTGGGCGGCTGCCCCACAGCCGTTGCCCCTAGCCCGACCTCCGTTATCCAAACGTTCTGAAAACTCAAACACTGTACGAGGGCTCTCTTCCTACAGTCCACGTGGGAAAGTAATCACGATGAATAAGATTCTGCGGGGACTGCTCCAATCACACGAAAAATAAACATGAAAAGCACATTCTTTCAAAGCATCAGTGATGTCAACCATTGCTTCATTTACTCAGCGGTACACACGGAATGCCTGTGTCCCATGATGCTGAGATACGATAGGGACAGCGAATGCAAACCAGTGTGGCCCCCGAGAAGCTTCGTCATGGGAGGAGGCAAACGTTAATCGAGTCACACAATTAAGTACAAAACCACAACAGTGATACGCTCTGTAAGAGAGACACATGGAGTTAAATAGGACACAACGAGGGTTAACATACATGGGAGACCACCGAATGCTCCCTCGGTACAACCTGAACTATAAGAGAAGAGACACGTTCATATATGAAGGGCAAAGGAAGACTATCCCAGGCAAAGGGAACCGTGCTGTGATCACAGTAGTGCAGCCAGGGGACGGCAGTAGTTGAGGCCAGACAGACGGTGGTGTAGACGGACAGAGTGGGTCGCTTCCGGACATGTTATTAGGAGGTAAAGCTTGCAGCCGTTGAGATGGTCTGGATATGGAAGAGTGGGAAAAGGTGGGTCTTGGAAATATCTCAGAGTTTCTTTCTGTCCACTGGATGAACAGGTGTCATACGTCCATGGTCTCCGTGGTTTGGGGACGTGCGGAAGAACACGCATGTTCAGCATCTCAGAACATCTAATGCATGATGTCAACTCATAGTGTGTGTGTGTCTGGATGTGTGTGTGTGTACAGACACATGTATGTGTGGATGTATATTTGTGTGTGTATGTATGTCTGGATGTGTGTATGTGGAGATGTGTGTGCATGTGTGTATGTGGAGGTGTGGAGGTATATTGGCGTGTGTATGTCTGGACGTGTGTGTAAATGCGGAGGTATGTGTGTACATGTACGTGTATGTGTGTGCATGTGTGTATGT